GCCTCCTCTGCTGTGGTCCTCCAACACTTCAGATGGGCCTAGATCTTGGTGTGGTGCTATTCATGTTCATTGCTGTTTTGTTTTGTTTGAGTGGGGGATTTCATTCTATCACCCACGCTGGAGTGTAGTGGCACAATCTTGGCTCACCATAGCCTCAATATCCTGGGCTCAGGTGATCCTCCCACCTCAGTCTCCCAAGAAGCTGAGACTACAGACCCATGTCACCACATCCAGCTTATTTTTTAAATTTTTTTGTAGAAACAAGGTCTTGCTATATTGTCTAGGCTAGACTCAAGTGATCCTGGGCTCAAGTGATCCTCTAGCCTTAGACTCCCAAAGTGCTAGGATTACAGGTATGAGCCTTCATGCCAGGCCCACTGCTACGTTTAGGAGCAAGTAACACAGGGTGTTAAGTTGTAGCTCTGGAACACAAATGCCTAGGTTCAAATCCCATTTGGGTGGCCATGTCTATTTATTCATCTATAAAATATAGATAGTAATTTGACAGAGTTTCTATGAACTCTAAATTATGAGACAGAAACTGCTAGAAGAATGCCTGGAAATAGACAGGTTCATCAAATGTGGTTATGAAGACTCCCTTCCAAAACTATAAAGCCTGGACTAGCACTCAGTTGCATTCACTCCTTAACCGCCTCCATCCCACTGAGTATAAAACCTCAACTGAATTAGCAATTTTCCATTCACACCATAGCCTCTCTGATTTCTAATAAAATGCTTTACCTTAACTATCAGAAGATTGAATAAGTATTACATTAAATGAACATACAGTTAAACCAAAAAGAAAATAGGCAATGAAATAAAAAGAAAGCATATATACTTAAATTACATAGATACCCAATTTCACTTTCTTTCCTTTTTTTTGAGTTAGAGTCTCACTCTGGCGCCCAGACTGGAGTGCAGTGGCCGCTCCCGGCCATCGCAGCCTCGATCTGCTGGGCTCTGGCATCCTTCCGACTCAGCCTTCCAAGTAGCTGGAACTACAGGCGTGCACTACCACCCCCAGCTATTTGAAAGGCTGAGGCAGAAGGATCACCTGAGCCCAGCAGGTTGAGGCTGTGTTGACTGTGAGTGTGCCACTGTACTCCAGTTTGGGCGACAGAGTGAGACTCCAACTCAAAAAAAAAAAAAGTAATAGCATACTATATGCTATATACACACTGTTCTGTGTATAGTGCAGTTCTGTTAACTGTTCTTTTTTTTTTTTTTTTTTTTTTTTTGAGTAGGAGTCTCACTCTTGTCCATTCTGGAGTTAGTGGTATATTCATGGCCACTGCAGCCTCTACCACTGGACTCAGGCTTCCAAGTAGCTGGAACCACAGGTGTACATCACCACACCTGGCTAAATTTTTGATTTATTGTAGAGACAAGGCCAAGTTGCCCAGGTTGGTCTTGAACCTCTGGGCTCAGGCAGTCCTTGCCTTTCCACCTCCCAAACTGCTGGGATTACAGGCATGAGCCACCTCACCCAACCATTTCTTTTTTTTTTTTTTTTTTTTTGAGTTGGAGTCTCTGTCGCCCAGACTGGAGTGCAGTGGCTGCTCCCGGCCACTGCAGCCTCGACCTGCTGGGCTCCGGCGATCCTTCCGCCTTAGCCTTCCAAGTAGCTGGAACTACAGGCGCGCGCTACCACGCCCGGCTAATTTTTTGATTGATTGTAGAGATGAAGTCTCGTCTGCCCA